TCAGCCTGTATCTGGGGAGGAGAAAGAAGCCACAACCATCACCTTCAGAGGACACGCTGCCTTTATATTTAGAAAGTGTACTGTCAACAGTGCCAAGAGACAGCTCGAGTTAGTAGTTATGGACAGATGAGATGGGCCTAAACTGAACTACAAAACCAAAAACCACGAATTAGTTGTGGTTCAGTTTGTGGATCTCATTCTGCCAAAGCAGAATGAAGAGCCAAATTTTGCTTCGGTAAAACAGATGCCCCCTCAGAGACAGGAGGCTCCCAGAAGGGAAAGTGGGCCACTGTCTCTGAAGTGGAGGAAGAGGAGAAGGAGGCAGGACCAGGTAAGGCAATGAGGCAGCGGGAAGGGGGCCAGGACATGGTTTATCCTCTCCCCCCTCCAGGCATGAACCAGAAAAAACAAATTGTGAACGACTTTGGTTTGTGGGTAGCCACGAACCACGAGCCGCCTTGATTTATCATTTTTCTGGTTCATGGCCATCTCGAGGGCAGATCCTTAGAAGGTTTGTGATGTGGCACTGGTCTCGGCCACTTCTGTAGGGAATGGCAACCATTGTTTAAAAGGCGGGGGCACACGCCCCACAGCATATTTAGTTTCCTTTTTTAAAAAGCCAACATTGTTGAAAGCTTTCACTAAGGCTCTGGAAAGTATTACTGGAAATTAAAATAGAGACATCAAGAGTGGCTTCTGAATCAATTGCCATATCTATAAAATGAAATCCATCTGTCATGTTCCTGAATGAATGACGAGTGGATAGAATATTAAGAGGATGCTGACAAGAGTGCTCGTCCATGCCCTTTTCGTAATCCACAAATTTATTGTGAAATGAATAAATTGTATCTACGTGCAAGCCCCATTTGGTTCACTTTGCTATTTCTTGTAAGACACACCTAATAATGCTAATATGTGAGCCCTGCTGTTCTGATTCAGTTTCCTCTTTCTTGGGTGCTTTTTGTGTGTGCGTACGTCAATTACAAGAACCTAACACTCTTTAAATAACATCATTCATCTAAAAAAGATAAACATGTGCTTCCTTTTTATGGCCCAGATAGAATCTTTGCAGAGCATAATGTGGTCCCGGGGGATTCTGGTACTGAAGCCTGATTCGTCTATATTGGTCAGGTTTTTTTTGTTCTTGTTGTTTTCCCCACCCCTTGGAGCACTTTTCTGCTTTTATAAGTGGGGCGCAATTCAGAAATATAAATGATAAAGCTTTCCTTGGAGAGCTAGTGCTAAGAAGAAACGTGTCCCTGTAATATTTCTGCAGGAATTAAGTAGCCAACCAATAAATCTGTTGAAATCCATAGGCGTCAAGAGACCAACAGAGTTTAAAGTGACAAACTCTGGTTTGAAGTAGCCTTCCTACGCTTGAACAGACTTTTTTTAAAGGGATTTCTTAGAGGAATAGCTGCTACAGCATGCAAAGGAAAAATGAAAATGCATTTCTGAATTTGTATGTTTTTAAATAACCCAGTAAGCTTCTAGTCCTCAAGTTTGTCTCAGATTAAAAATTTGCACTTTGGTTTCTGCTAAACTAATCTCCCACCCCAATGTAGATGCTGATAATATATATTTTTCTATGCTGGCTGGATAGCTCAGTGAGTTAGGCATCCGGCTGCAGAGATAGAGGTTGGGAGTTCAGTTTCCCCACTGTGTTTCCTATGAGTAGAGCCAGCCTGTATGGCCTTGGGTGAGCTGCACTCAAGAAGAAGGGCATGGTAAACCACTTCTGAGTGTTCTCCAACTAGAAAATGCTGGAAAGCATTGCCATCAGTTGGATTCAACTTGACTGCACATAATTATTATATTTTTCTCTAGCAATCAGTGTTTTGGTATCATCTGAATATAAACAGCACATACAGTGGTGCCTCGCTTAACAGCGTTAATTCGTTCCAGTGAAAGCGCTATAGAGCGAAAATGTCGTAAAGCGAAATTTAAAATGCCCATTGTAATGCATTGAAAACCATACAATGCGTTCCAAGGGGCTGAAAACTTACCATCCAGCTAAGATCCTCAATGGGGCGGCCATTTTCGGGTGCCTGTAAAGTGAAAAATGACTCCTAAACACAGTGGGGGGCCATTTTGCACAGCGGCGGCCATTCTGAAACCTGACGATCAGCTGTTTTTGATTGTTGTAAAGCGAAAATCGGTTCCCGAAGAAGAGAACCGATCATCGCAAAGCGGAAAACCCCCATTCAAACCATTGTTTTACGATTGCAAAAGCGATTGCAAAAACATCGTCTTCAATTGGATTCGTCGTTAAACGGAGTAATCGTAAAGCAGGGCACGACTGTAACAGCAAATAAGGCATTGCTGGCTGGGGATTAATATTTCCAAACTCTGGAGCAGGTATGCCATTGTGATTACATTTGGCAACATGTCCATTTGATTTGATAACCACATTTCAGGACAGTGGTGTGAATGTCATTAGATTGCAATTCCTAGCAGTCTTGGCCAGCACTGCCTACAGTGAGACATTATGGGAGTCGGAATCCATCACCATGTGAAAGATGGCTGCTTCTTGTTTTAACAGTAGCCATCGTTTGACAGTAAATGGCACCTCATCTTCAGCAGGAGGCAGTATGAGACAGCAGAACGCTCTTGTGGCAGGTTTTATTCAGCAGCAATTTAGATTTTTTTGAGACAAGTAGCTGGCAACTTTAGGGGCTGCCTGATAATTCCCTTGCCGTAAAATGTAGTGCATTTTTAAGTGCTTCATTCTTTCACCCGTCCAGCTAACCAAAACAAAGAAAAGGCATGTTGTGAGAATGTCTGACAGCCAGATTCCAGAAGAGCTCCTGTAGGGAGAATTAGTATTCAGCAGCAATTTAGATTTTTTTGAGACAAGTAGCTGGCAACTTTAGGGGCTGCCTGATAATTCCCTTGCCGTAAAATGTAGTGCATTTTTAAGTGCTTCATTCTTTCACCCGTCCAGCTAACCAAAACAAAGAAAAGGCATGTTGTGAGAATGTCTGACAGCCAGATTCCAGAAGAGCTCCTGTAGGGAGAATTAGTGCAGGGAAAGCACCCCAGAGGGAGACCCCAGATGCGATACAAGGATATCTGCAAGTGAGATCTGAAGGCCTTAGGAAGGGACCTCAACGGATGGGAAACCTTGACATCCGAGTGTTCAGCCTGGAGGCAGGCGGTGCACCATGGCCTCTCCCAATCTGAAGAGACCCTTGTCCAACAGGCCGAGGCAAATGGGCAGTCCCCAAACCAGCAAAATCAGGGAGCTAGACAGGGGACAGATTGTATTTGTCTTCAGTGTGGAAGGGATTGTCACTCTCGAATTGGCCTTCTCAGCCACACTAGATGCTGTTCTAAGACCTCTACTCAGAGCACGACACCATAGTCTCTTGAGACTGAAGGATGCCTACCTACTTCAAACATATTTCCTTAGAATCAACAACCCCTCTAAATCAAATTTTCAATCTGGCAGTTATTGAAATGTGTATCAGCATGAAGTTGAGCCTCTTTAACACCCTGGAGAGTGGGATTAATAGCGAGCTAAAAGGCATTGTTTTAAAAACAACAAGCTGTGTTGCCAGGAAGTTGTGGATCATTCATGCATCCCACTCAATAGCACAGAATATTACTGTCTGCATCCCACATCTTTGTGTAGCTCCATCTTTACACCAAATGTGCATTTAGAGATCCGCTTTTTAGTATCTTAGCCCTATATTTTTATGGGGGTAGTGCTGTCAGATACTTTTGGATCCACCCAGTGTGGTGTAGTGAACAGAGTGGCAGGCTAGGACTTGGGAGACCTAGGTTCAAATTCCACTTGGCCATGGAAAATAAATGGGGCATGGCCATGCTAAACCAGCCCTTGAATATCTTGAATACCTTGAAAACTCTACTGGGGTCACCATAGTTTGAAGTGATTGACAGCACATAACAAGTGACCAGCTCCCGAAGGTCAGATAATATTAAGCTGATATTTGCTTGATCCCTGTCTGCCAGCTGAAAACCAGTGCACCAATGCACCTAATCTTTTCCCCCCTGTGGGTCTTTTCATCATCAGTGTTTATGTGCTAGACTTCCAAAATCCTGTTGGACAGGATCTCCCTTTGTAATAGGAAGGAGATTGGTTGTTGTGAGTTTTTCGGGTTCTTTGTGTTCCGAAGGTTGTTCTTCCTAACATTTTGCCAGTCTCTGTGGCCGGCATCTTCAGAGGACCGCACTCTGTGCTCTGCTGTAGTTTGTTTGGAAGTTGAGTATTTATGCCACTGCACTGCTTCCTCAATTTCTATATTGGAAATGATTTTTTAAAAAAACAATAGACACCCTGGAGTCCACAATGATGTTCCCTTACTTCTCTACTACAGGTATCTTCAAAAACAACCTGATAAATTCAAACCTTAGCAAATTAAATTTTTGGTACAGTTTTATCTGTATTCCAGGAAGATCACCATTGTCATAACATCCAGTTGATTCTAACTTAAGGTGACCCTTTCCAGGACTCTCTAGGGACAGAATAATTAGAAGTGATCTACTATTCCCTTCTTCTGAGTGCATTTTGGGAGTATCTATATGAAGACTATAAAATCTGACTTCTGGGAGGCACAGTGGAAAATCAAAGTCCTGACTGTTAGTTGTTATGGGTTTTCCGGGCTCTTTAGCTGTGTTCTGAAGGTTGTTCTTCCTGATGTTTCGCCAGTCTCGGTGGCTGGCATCTTCAGGGGACAGCACTATGTGTTCTGGTGCAGTTTGTTTGGGAGTTGAGTATTTATGGCTGGGAGATCAGCTTTTGTCCTTTTCAGGAGATGGGTGACTATGGTGATCAGTGTGTTTTTGTTGTGGGTGTATTGTTGTGATAAGGAGGAGAGATGATCTGTCAATGTGATTGATGGGTGTCGTTAGCTGGTCTTTTGTGTGTAGTGATCCCCGGTCCTTGTGGCTGGGTAGAGTTTGTTGACCTTTTGTACGCTGTATTTTTCAGAGCTGGGAGCCAAGTTTTGTTGAGTTTCAACCTTTCCTCTTTTTTGTTGAAGTTCTGTTGGTGTTTGTGGATTTCAATGGCTTCCCTGTGCAGTCCAACATAATGATTGCTGGTGTTGTCCAGTACTTCAGTATTTTGAAATAGAATTTCATGTCCAGCTTGTTTTAGGGCATGTTCAGTTCCTGACCCTATCCTGATGCTAAGGCTCCTCTAAACCCTGTCTCTTCCCCTGCTTTAGGGAGACACCAAACCTGACTATGAGAACATAGTGAACCCGAATGAAGAAGAACTGCACTACTCTTCCTTGGTGAACCTCGCCCGACGGCCCCAGCCCACCTTCACAGACTCAGAAACGGATTCCGACTCAGAGGACAGCATCCACTATGCAGCCCTGAAGCATTGATTCTCTTGGGACTCACAGAGACCAGAAACGGCCCCCAAGCTCTTTCCACTCAGTGGCACAGTATACGTGGGGACGCTTCCGATCTATGCTATGGCTTGCTCTTAGAAGCCAAGAATAGCAGCACTTGAGGATAAGGATCTGTCTGCACTGGGAGTATGAATGTAAACATGCACTGGATTTTGTTCTTGCAGGAAAGAATGGAACATGTGAAAGTGTTTCTTCCCTGCTGTGTGAAGTTTTGAGGGTTTATGTTTTTTCATCATTATATCACCTTTTTTTGCAAAGCAAAAAAATACATATGGGAATATGGAGTTATAGTGCCACAAAAAGATGTATTTTGTGCCACCAAAAGATGTATTTTGTGTAGAAACGCTTGTATTTTCCACAGGAAATCTATTTTGCTTAGAAAACATTGAATTTACACAAAAGGTTTTTAAACACAACGTAGAGTTTTTCATGCAAGAGCTGGTCTTTTCTCTGTTGTATAAGAATGAAAAATATCGCAGTGCTTCTCTCTCCTTTTTTTCCTTTAATGACTTGTCTTGATGGGTCCAGATATCTTGTTTTTCTTTATAACAAGAAACTTAGAGAATATGTCATTAAGCGGGAAACAGGCAGGACTGGACATGCAACAGATTGACTCTGGGACCTTCTACATTGAATGTATGTGTGCTTCCGTTAGGTCAATTGTTCCTAATCCTGGGACCCCAGATGTTCTTGGACTGTAACTCTCAGAAGCCCTTGTTGGCACAGCTTAGGTGAAGGCTTCTGGGAGCTGCAACCAAAGAATATTTGGGGACCCAAGGTTAGGATAGGAACCACTGTCTTAGGCTATAACTGTTTCTGGATCAGCCACTCTCAAATGTTGTCTTGAGTCATTGAACCACCATCCCAGATACTTCTGCTTGTTTATGCATTTTGAATCAGGGAGATCTTTTTGAACTGAGGAGATGGCACTCTCTCTGCCTCTATCCATATGAAGGAATATAGACAGCTGCCTTTACCAAATCAGATCAACAGCTCCACTTAGATCAGGGATCAGACTTAGCCAGCATTGGAGTTGTGAGATATTAGTCTATCAGCATAGGGCAGCTACATCTCCCATCCCTGGTCAAGACTGCAGTATTTGTCTATACCGATGGTTCCTAACCTTGGGTCCCCAGCTGTTCTTGGACTACAACTCCCAGAAATCCTGACCAGCATAGCTGGTGGTGAAGGCTTCTGGGAGTTTTATTCCAAGAACTTCTGGGGACCCAAGGTTGGGACCATTGGTCTATACTGACTGGTACTAATTTTCCAGAATTTTTGGAAGAAATCCTTTCCAGCTGTACCTAAAGATGGTAAATGATAGGCTCAAGCACTAGGCTGAAAAACAACGCAATGAAATTTAACAGGGATAAGTGCAAAGTTCTCCACCTGGGGGGGGGGAACACCCCAAATGCACAGTTACAAGATGGCTCAGTAATACAAGTGAGAAGGATTTTGGAATTGTCATAGATCACAAGCTGAATTTGAGCCAACAGTGCAATGTGACTACAAAAAAAGAGCAAATGCTATTTTAGGCTGCATTAACAGAAGTATAGTCTCCAAATCCCGTGTGGTACTAGTCTGCCTCTATTTATTACTGGTTAATGCTAATTTAGAGTCCTGTGTCCAGTTCTGTACACCGCATTTTAAGAAGAATGCCAGTAAGCTGGACCAAGTTCAGAGGAAGGCAATGATCAGGGGGCTGGAAACCAAGCCCTGTGAGGAAAGTCTGAAAGAACTGAGCATGTTTAGCCTTGAGAAAAGAAGACTGAGGGGAGATACAGTGGTGCCTCGCATAACGAGCGCACCGTTTAACGACGAATCCCCATAGCGATCTATTTTTTTAGATCGCTAATGCGACCGCATTCCGATGTTTTAATGGGTAAAACATCGCATTGTGATGATCGGTAAGCGTTTCGCTTACCGATCTTCGCATTGCTATGTTTTTTGAATAGCTGATCAGCGGTTCCAAAAGAGCCACCGAGTGCCCAAAATGGCCGCCGCAACCATTTTCGCGCCCTGCTCTCGCTTACCGAGGGCGCGAAAATGGCGGCACTATGGAGGAACTTCACTGAATTGTGAGTTTGGGCCCCATAGGAACGCATTAAACAAAGTTTAATGCGTTCCTATGGCTTTTTCCGTTCCGTTTAACGATGTTTCCTCATAGCGACAATTAATCCGGAACGGATTAACGTCGCTATGCGGGGCACCACTGTATACTTGAAAGGCTGTCAAATACTTGGAAGGCTATCATACAGAGGATCTCTTCTCAATCATCCCAGAGAGCAGGACACTTAATAATGGACTCAAGCTACAGGAAGCCAGGTTTAGGTTGAATATCAAGAAAAAAAACTCTCAACTGTTAGAGCAGTACGACAATGGAACCAATTACCTCAGGAGGTAGTGAGCGCTAAAGTGCTGGAGCCATTCAAAAGAAAATTGGACAACCATCTGTCAGATCTGTTTTGATTTGAATTCCTGCCTTGAGAAGGTTACACTTGATGACATTGTAGGCCCCTTCCAACTGCATTATTCTGTGATTCTTTCATTCTGTGAGGTAAAATGTGGGAGTTTTGGGCTGCAGAATACTTGTCAGTGAGTGAAAGTATGGGTGGTGACATCATTCCAAGCCAAAAAAAAAGGGACAAGGAAGAATTATTTTCATCCTGTGCTACAGCTTTCTGGCATCTGGAATGCCACCAGCAACAACCCAACCTTACCTGTGTCAGATTCATGTGAAGTATTTCATTTCTTGAAACAAATATTGCTGTATACTTGGTGTGTCTAGCCTTTAAACAGATTTATTTCACATATTCTTGTTCTGTGGTTTAGTTCCAGAAATCTACTTCTCCAACGACACCTGCTTTGGTCTCACATGATCACTTGTCTGTCTTAACTTGAGAAACTGACATATTTTTATCATATGTGGTGGTTATGTGGGAAAGCCCAAAAATATTGGGAAAGGGTTGAAATGCTTTTGCATGAGGTTTTGGAGATTCTGACAACGGTAACCCCTGAATTTTTTTCTTCTAAATATAATCCTGGATTCAATGGACCTAATGGAAAAATATTTAGTTATCCATATCTTGACAGCTGCAAGATTTTTTTTTTGCTAAACACTGGAAAGACCTGGAGAATCCACCTCAAGATGAGTTAATAGCAAAAATCCTGGATAGGGTGGAAATGGACAAACTATCAGAATGGCAGCATCTTAAAAAGCAGAGACATCACCTTGCCAACAAAAGTCCGAATAGTCAAAGCTATGGTTTTCCCTGTAGCAATGTATGGAAGTGAGAGCTGGACCCTAAAGAAGGCTGACCGCCGAAGAATTGATGCCTTTGAACTGTGGTGCTGGAGGAGGCTCTTGAGAGTCCCCTGGACTGCAAGGAGAACCAACCTATCCATTTTGAAGGAAATCAACCCTGAGTGCTCACTGGAAGGACAGATCCTGAAGCTGAGGCTCCAATCCTTTGGCCATCTCATGAGAAGAGAAGAATCCTTGGAAAATAACATGACGTTGGGAAAGTGTGAGGGCAAGAGGAGAAGGGGACGACAGAGGATGAGATGGCTGGACAGTGTCATCGAAGCGACCAACATGAATTTGGCCCAGCTCCGGGAGGCAGTGGAAGACGGGAGGGCCTGGCGTGCTCCGGTCCATGGGGTCACGAAGAGTCGGACATGACTAAATGACTAAACAACAACAACAACAAGAAAGACGAACCATGAATATTGTTGGCATAAATTTTATGATTGGCTTAGAAATAGAATGTAAATTAATATCTGATAATTGAAAGCCTAAGATTAAATTAAAATTAGAATATGTATGATGAAGTAGTTACACAGGAAACTTACCGGTATATGTCTTTGAAAGGTAAGAGATAAGAATGATTATTGTAAAATGTTCACGTTGATTTACAA